CGGTATGTAGCCTATTGGAACAACTAATCTAGGGAACCAATCTCACCGTTTACTTGCGACCAAGAAACTGTTTGCACCTAGGAGGTATTGAACTTGAGACTTTGGAGGAAGCTTATCCCTAGATCCCAAGCCTTGACAACCAGGCCAACCTCTTGAGGTTATGGGGAATAAAGCTTAACTTTAGAACTCTTATCAAAAGGGAATGAGCATCCTTACTTGCTATGTATAAAACCAGTCAATCTAGTCAACTTGACAATCTTGAAGTTTCTACTTGGCCAACTTTATACTGGCTAATTCAGTGCCAATTCATTTTTAGAGCTTTCTATCACCCAAGAATTGTTTCTGTTAAGTTGACTGAAAATAGTCAGCTTTATGTGAAAAAAGAAAAGGGTTCATGGTTTCATTGGGGGGTTCTTTTGTGTCCACCAAGAGCATAGTCCAGATCATAATTATTAATGCAATATGGGCCAAATATCAGTGATTAGAATGCAATTGGATGGAGAAGATAGTCCATTATTGTTAGTGCATCAAAAACTACAGAGGTTATATGGTTTTCCTGCTCTACTTGTCGAAAACTTAAGCAAGCATATAATTTCAAGAAGGCTAGGTTTTACCTTGGATGCCATTAAGTTGATTTTCACTTAGATCCAACCTTTCCAGGTTTCCAAAATAAGCTAATTCTGCACAAAGAAACAACAAAGTGATGAGTTTACAACATAGTAATAGAAAGATTATTAAGAATAATTATGCAATTGTAATTATGATTAACAATTCTCAACTCCCTGTACAAATAAGAAACAATCATGAATTTTCACAGACACGGTTGAGGTTACCATGAGCTGGAAATAATCCCCTGATTTTATTTGCACGAAGATTAAGCATCTTAAGGAATCTAAGCGCACTCAAAGATGGCAGAATGCTATCAAATTTGTTCCATTCAAGATTTAGAGTCTCCAATTTTCTCAAAGCCAACAGCTTCTCAAAACCAGCATGAAAATTTTGGATAAAATGAGATGAATCACCTATCCCAAAATCTCTACCCATCCCCACCTCACAAGTAGTGTTCGGGACAGAATCTCACCCCTTCTCTAACACAAGACTTGTGTAGAAAATTTTCATGTTTAATATTTTCAGTATTCTCCATTAATTTTTATTTTTTTTCTTCCGTTAAGCCAACTATAGAAAGTAGTACTTTTAGAAAAGTAAAATATAAACATTCATGGAGTTATATTAGCTGATTTGCATATCTTTATTGTCAGTCCTAGCACTGAATAAATTGAAAGACAAATTGAGGCTTCGGAGCTCTTTAAAAGGAAGGAAGAGGGAGGCATTTATGAGCCAAATATTGTTGTGATCTATATATGGTGCATCTTTGATATTATGCAGAGAGAGCTCTGAAACGTGCCCATGGTGCGATCATATAATTATTTTTTTGACTGGGCTTGGACAGATTTAGAGGCCCGATATTAGGGCCGGGCCGGATTTGGGTAGACACAGTCTCTTATTATGTAGTGTTGGCCCGGCCCAAACCCGGCCTTGCCTGACGTTTGTCCCACCCTAGGATGGAGGAACACTTGCAAAGAAATTATTCTCACTTAAATTTAAGATCTCCAGATGGCGGACTGATGTCAAACCTACCAAAACATATGATAAAGGTAAAATAGAGCCAAGAGAACTTAACAAAATACAATCAAGATTGCAAGGTGATCCTAAGGCAATTTAAATAACAAATTTCTTGCCTTCCATTGGTAGCCTTCCATTGAGCTGATTCTGTCTAAGGAGGAGGACCTCTAGATTACTAAGATTATAAGTCAATTCTGTAACCTAAGTGAAGAGACTTGTTAATTAGATTGAGATGAAGAAAATAGAGAACGATGATTCCAAAAAGATACAATTGACACAAAAAAAAAAAAAAAAAAACACTTTTAGTTTGCACATTTCGCTAGTTGTAACACTTCATTTTTTCAACTATTTTAAGTCTTCTTAACACTCAAATGGAGCTAAAAAAAATTAAATTAAGTAGCATGGATTTCAGAAATCGAAAATACACATACCTCGATTAGAAAGTGGTCCTTCCATTCTATTTTTCTCGGAGGATAGAAACTTAAGGGATGGGATTCAAAATCCTGAAGGCATCCTTGTTAAATTGATTACCACTTAGGTCTATATGTCTCATCTCGGTCAACTTAGACAGTAGTTTAGAATCTGAGTGTATGACCATGATCAAATGTCATTAAAAGTCAACCCTAAAGAACCATATATGAAAATGACCGACTTATTGCTTTTACAGGTAATTAGGTACTTCTTAAAAAGATTTTCACTTTACTCTGATTCAAATTGTAGATGATATATAGTGATATGGAATGCACGTGCACACACACACACACACACACACACACACACACACAAACACACCTTATTTCACCAAAAACAATAATTAGGTATACCACAAACCACTAGCTATGCCATTCAATTGAAGAATCAGTACACTTTCATTTGTTCCTACTCATGGGGAATAAAGCTTTTTTTATTTTTTTATTTTTATTTTTATTTTTTTGATAACTCGGTATGTAGCCTATTGGAACAACTAATCTAGGGAACCAATCTCACTGTTTACTTGCGACCAAGAAATTGTTTACACCTAGGAGGTATTGAACTTGAGACTTTGGAGGAAGCACATCCCTAGACCCCAAGCCTTGACAACCAGGCCAACCTCTTGAGGTTATGGGGAATGAAGCTTAACTTTAGAACTCTTATCAAAAGGGAACGAGCATCCTTACTTGCAATGTATAAAACCAGTCAATGTAGTCAACTTGACAATCTTGAAGTTTCTACTTGGCCAACTTTATACTGGCTAATTCAGTGCCAATTCATTTTTAGAGCTTTCTATCACCCAAGAATTGTTTCTGTTAAGTTGACTGAAAATAGTGAGCTTTATGTGAAAAAAGAAAAGGGTTCATGGTTTCATTGGGGGGTTCTTTTGTGTCCACCAAGAGCATAGTCCAGATCATAATTATTAATGCAATATGGGCCAAATATCAGTGATTAGAATGCAGTTGGATGGAGAAGATAGTCCATTATTGTTAGTGCATCAAAAACTACAGAGGTTATATGGTTTTCCTGCTCTACTTGTTGAAAACTTAAGCAAGCATATAATTTCAAGAAGGCTAGGTTTTACCTTGGATGCCATTAAGTTGATTTTCACTTAGATCCAACCTTTCCAGGTTCCCAAAATAAGCTAATTCTGCACAAAGAAACAACAAAGTGATGAGTTTACAACATAGTAATAGAAAGATTATTAAGAATAATTATGCAATTGTAATTATGATTAACAATTCTCAACTCCCTGTACAAATAAGAAACAATCATGAATTTTCACAGACACAATTGAAGTTACCATGAGCTGGAAATAATCCCCCGATTTTATTTGCACGAAGATTAAGCATCTTAAGGGATCTAAGCGCACTCAAAGATGGCAGAATGGTATCATCAAATTTGTTCCATTCAAGATTTAGAGTCTCCAATTTTCTCAAAGCCGACAGCTTCTCAAACCAGCATGAAAATTTTGGAAAAAATGAGATGAATCACCTATCCCAAAATCTCTACCCATCCCCACCTCACAAGTAGTGTTCGGGACAGAATCTCACCCCTTCTCTAACACAAGACTTGTGTAGAAAATTTTCATGTTTAATATTTTCAGTATTCTCCATTAATTTTTATTTTTTTTCTTCCGTTAAGCCAACTATAGAAAGTAGTACTTTTAGAAAAGTAAAATATAAACATTCATGGAGTTATATTAGCTGATTTGCATATCTTTATTGTCAGTCCTAGCACTGAATAAATTGAAAGACAAATTGAGGCTTCGGAGCTCTTTAAAAGGAAGGAAGAGGGAGGCATTTATGAGCCAAATATTGTTGTGATCTATATATGGTGCATCTTTGATATTATGCAGAGAGAGCTCTGAAACGTGCCCATGGTGCGATCACACGTGACTCTCTCCCAATCACAACACTCACTGTGGTAGGGAGAGGATGGTCTGCATCAGCACCGTTGGATTTGAGGAACTCCTTGAATTCCAATAGACCCCTCCTTTCCCCTTCCAAGCAACCAGCACTGTGTCCATTCACCTGAGCCAAAACAATCACTACCCACATAGCAAACTTTCCTAGAAAAAAGGCCACCCTATTCTGTGAATAGGGGTGTCTGTAGTTCTATTTAATGAAAAAAATTCAATTAACAGTGATATGATACCATATCATCATAATTCAATAATCAATTACCATGAGTTGTGAACCCACTATACAAATATGGTAGTTATTAGATTGTATTGGATGGTAGTTATATTTGAATAATGGGATTCACTTATCCGATCAGGGATGAAGCGAGATTCTGGCATGCGGTGGCCATGATCCTTAGTTTTTAAAAACCCCTCTTATGTGTGATATGTATATCTACTGTTCATGAATATGTTGTGTTCAGTAGTGGCCAGGTCAAGAATTGGATTAAATATTAGGTATAATGGTGATACGAGTGGCAATATTACTAATTACCAATTAATGAAAAATCTCATATTACTATAGAGAGACTACATGATTGGGTTAATGGAAGCTAAGTAGCGTCCACCTAATCCCATTTACATTTTTTAATTGGCCGCTAATAACACCAGGTAATCTAATTGTTACTAATTGAGGGTTATTGATTTATTGGTTATTTATTGTTTGTATGTAACAAGCAACTTTGTTTTTGGGTTTTTTCTATTTTTTTTTTTATTGTGTTTGTGTTTTTTGATTCATGATGACTTCTAAGATTTTTATTTTGGAAAATAACTTTTATTTATTTTTTGTTGAAAAAAGTCATAGATGAAAATTTGATGAATTTCTTGAAGAAAAAAAAAAAAACAGAAAAGAAATGTGGTGTACCAGTTACATAGTGGACCAAGTGGTTTTGTATTAAAAATTTATTCATTTATTTTTTTTCATGCATATATTTATTTACATTGAATATTTTGTCTAATATATTTTCATTCATTGAAATTCGGATCTGAAAAATATAAATATAGTCCTTTTTATTTGTCTAAATTTCACTATATGATATTTTCCCCACAAAGACAAAATCGCGGCTCCATCCCTCCATCGGATGCATCTATTATTGGATAGTGACACTACGTGTTAGTAATGATATGGTGTTATACTATTGCACTCAATTTACTTGTAAATTTGGAAGAATTAATTTTTTATTTTATTTTAGATTTACCATAATATTTTGTATTTTGTACAGGAAAGTAGAGAAAGAAGATGCCCTGTTTGGAACTATAAACTCCTGGTTGATCTGGAATTTGATTGGAGGTGTTAATAATGGTTTACATGTCACAGACGTTTCAAATTCATCACGAACTATGTTTATGGATCTGAAAACACTTGATTGGGATAAATCCACATTGGAGACGCTCAAAATTCGTGCTGAGATTCTACCAAAAATTGTCAGTAATTCTGAGATTATCGGAAAAATATCAACTGGATGGCCAATCCCAGGAATCCCAATTGCTTTGTCTCGGTGATCAACAAGCAGCAATGCTGGGGCAAGCTTGTAGGAGTGGGGAGGCAAAAAGTACTTCTGGAACTGGGGCTTTCATACTTCTCAGCACCAGTGAAGAGTTGATTCAGTCTACTCATGGCCTATTAAGCACTTAAGCTTTTAAGCTTGGCCCAGATGCTCCGACAAAGTGGGTGTTTGGGAAGTGGGTTTTTTTGTAGGTTTTTTTAATTGTAGGATATTATTGGAGAAAATTTTGTGTGTTTGGGAAGATAGTTGAATTTTTTTGTGGTTGAATGCGATATTTGTGAGAGAAAAAGTAAAATGATTATGGGGTTTGATGTGATATTTTGTTTGGATTTGTTTTTTTTTTTATTTTGTAAAACATTTGTCTTGTAGTGAAAAAAAACAAAAAAAAAAAAACTCAAAAACCAAGTTCCCAAACACCCCCAAACTATGCTATTGAGGGCTCAATTGCCATTGCAGGAGCTGCTGTTCAGTGGCTCAGAGACGGTCTTGGGTTAATTAGAACTGCTAGTGAGATTGGGGACTTGGCTATGCAGGTTGACTCCACTGGTGGAGTTTATTTTCTGCTGGCATTTGATGGATTATTTACTCCATGGTGGCGTGATGATGCTTGTGGAGTTTGTATTGGGATTACGAGGTTTATGAACAGGTTTCATATTGCTCGAGCTGTGCGCGAGAGTATGTGTTTCCAGGTGAAAAATTTGTTGGATTTGATGCACAAGGATGCAGGGGAGAAGGGTGAGGTCAAAAATGAGAAGGGGGAATTCTTGCTTAGGGGGGATGGTGGTGCTACTGTTAAAACAACCTTTTGATGCAAATTCAGTTCATTTTTTTCCTCACATTTTCTGCTATAAGCTGAATTTCATTGCTGTTTAATTGAATCTAAAACTAGGTCAGCTTAGCATGAGAACAACTTTTTTTTATTGATGTGTGTTTGAAGTTATTTATGTTGGAAAGTTATCTAGATCTGGATTGTATTGATTTTGCATTGAAAATGAGCATAATCAATTTGATTTTAGTTTTCCGATATAATTGGATAATTACAAACATTTCCACAGTAATCATATTTTTCCTTTCATAGTCTTAGCAAATGTTTGTTCAAACATTTTTGTTGTTATATTGTGTTATTCACGCATGATCTTCCTTGCGGAGTTAAATTATAAGTCTACTCTATTGTCTTTCAAGTTTTGTTTTTGCGGCATATTTCCTCATCAGTTCATATTTTGATAATTGGCTGCTAATTAGTTTTCTCTATCGCACTCATATATGTCACAGTTTCATTTTGAACTTGTGTTTTGCAGGCAGACTTGTTGGGTAACCCAGTGGTAAGACCAGCTGACATAGAGACAACAGCTCTTGGAGCAGCCTATGCTGCTGGGTTAGCTATTGGGGTTTGGACAGGAGGAAATTTTTTCTTCTGGGGAAAAGAAGGAAAAAAGCTACCATTATCAGTCCAACATTAGAAGAAGATCTGAGGCAGAAAAAGGTGGAGTCTTGGTGCAAGGCTGTTTCAAGATCTTTTGACTTGGCCTATCTATCCTTGTGACGGGCTCTTCTTTATTATGTTATCTTACTCGCCTTTTCATTTTATCATTTTCTCCTTATGGTTTACTTTCTATAATGCTTATGCAGGTGTGTATGCTAGAAACCTTACTTTGATTTTAGTGGTGAAGTTTATATCATAATAAAATGTTGATTTGGGAGTATCGCCACCATTACATCATCCTATGACTGTAAAATAGTCGTGTAAACTTATCTTTATTTCAAATTCAGAAAAAGTCATTACAACAACTGACTAGCTTAAAAGTTCAAAGCTAACCCGGGTTGCATTAGCACTTGGAAGCCTATAATTGAGAAATTTAAGAAGAAATTGGCCTTGTGGAAGCAAAAATACCTAGCTAATTTGCCCATTTATTATCTGTTGCCATTCAAGATCCCTGTGGACGTTGCGAAAGAGTTGGAGCAATTTCAAAGACAATTCTTATGGGGGAGATAATAGAGAATTGGAGAAATTTTAATATGATTTTGCTTTGAAAGTCTGGTCGGCATGTTTATGTTGGTGGGGGATGCAATAGGTATGTTGCGGCTCTTTGGAGACTTTAATGCTATGGTTGAAACATAATTCATATAGTAATGCTAATTTGCACCATCTATCCTATTTAAATAAAGTATTTTCAGCACTGACACTACGAATAACGTAGGGTAAAGCTGTGCCTAATACACCTGCAACTTCCATCATAAATGGGTTCCAACTCCCATCATAAATGGGTTCAACGTCCAACTATAAAAGAGAAAACTGTTGAAAGTCACAGTAAAATTACTTTTTTTTTTTTGGTTGCAAAAATCACCTTGTATTCAGTATTAATCATTACTAAATGATGGCTAAATTTTTTTCTATTATCCAAATCTAATGATTAGAATTAGTTTTTGATATGGTATCCACCTTTTTATTTTTTTTATCAAATCAAAATCTGTAATTAAAATTGGAGATTTCCACTGTCTCATCTCAAGTTATTTTACTTATATAGAATAAATCACATAATCAAAGAAAATATTATTAAGTGCACTATAAAAAGGTGCATATGGTATTTTTTTTTTCATAATAAATTACAAAAAAAAAATCAAGTAAATTAGACATTTGTAGCCTTAAAATAAGAGCACAATTGTTTATCAAAAAATAAACGGTTAACATGATTTTAATAATTTTTTTTTTAAAAAACAATTAAGACTTGATCATGGGATTGCAGATGTTTGATTAACTTGATTTTTTATATGGATGATATACTTGACAAACCTTACAATAACGGTTCAGATTATCAAAATACAGCCAGAAAATACCTTTAAGGGACCTCACAGGTTCTTTCTAAGAAACCATATCCACCTTTGCTTATTTTATTCATATAGTTGGAATGAAAAGAAAATTAAAATGCTTTTGATTAAGATTCTGCAGGGTTGGAATGCAGAAAAGGTCAACAAATTCACATTATAATTTTTTGTCATTTTCATGAGGTACAAGTCTCTTTTGTGGATTGTGTTAAGTCTTTGTATACTTACAAGAAAAGGTCAACAGATTCACATTATAATTTTTTGTCATTTTCATGAGGTACAAGTCTCTTTTGTGTATCGTGTTAAGTCTTTGTATACTTATTGCAGACGTTCCCGAACGTCTTGGGAGAAATCCCGTTTTGTTCATTGGGCTTACTACAGTTCGGACTTAATGTCACGGTTCTGATTCTAATCTCACAAAGTGCAATGCAAGATCGATAAATCACCAAAGAGTCCAAATCCGGCAAATCGTTTTGAAAAACTGATTTTTAGAAAGAAGTGCCAAACATGGACTGCTTTGCCAGATACAGAGTCGCCACCTAAATATTTTATTTTGGGGGAATTTAGGAAACCCTGACTCGTGCCTAGAGCCACGTGTTCATCATCACCAAAGTTGCCTCGGCTCAGGAACTTGGGTATGATTGGGGAAGGTCATTTCATGAGCAGCCCCGCTTGCCCGATCAAAGATCGGCCACTACTAAGCATGATATCGAGTTTTTGAAAACACATGTGCTCTTATTTCGGTTTATTAGCCTAGAATTACTATGTA